CAGGGATATTAAAAATTTGCAAACAAAGGAAATACTAATGCAACATAGATTGCTTATTCATCGGAAACAATGGTAGGATTGCAACACCTCTAGATAGAATATAAATGACCTAAGAAATCAGCCGTTCTTTCATCTTCAATGGTAATGCATTGAAATTGCAACTAATGACTTCTCCCTTGATCATACCACTGTAATAAGCTAATCAGACACATAACCATGTCTACTGTTTCATAGAAATGCAAGGACTTGATTGCTTATTTATGTTTGAGTGTGTATGTGCTTTTGTGTGGGAGAGAGAACAAAAGAGCACATAAAACTTTGTGATAAGAATATTTGCAATCGGAAATCTGAGGGGTTTTACCATCTTAACCGTTTCTAAGTGTACAGTTCAGTTGTGGTTAGAATATTCACATTGTTTTGAAACAGATCTTTGGAACTTTTTCATCTTTCAGAACTGAAACTCTATCCACATTAAACAACAACTCCTCTTTTTTTCTTTCCTTATTCAGTCCTAACCACCAGTCAGCCTTCTGTTCCTATGAATTTGACTGCTTTGGATACTTCATATAAATGGAATCATACAGTATTTTGTCTCTTTGAGACTGGCTTATTTTACTTAACATAATGGGCTCAAGGCTCATCCATATGTGACAGGGTTTTCTTCCTGTCACACAGCATGTGTTTTTAAAGACTGAATAATATTCCATTGTGTGTATGTACCATATTTTGTTTCTTCATTCTTCCGTGAATGGAAAGTGGGGCTGCTTCCACCTCTTAGCTATTATGAAAAGTACTGCAGTGAACATGGGTGTACAGATCTCTTTCCTCAAGACCCTGTTTTCATTTCATTTGGATATATGCCCAGAAGTGGGATTGCTGGAGCATGTGGTAGTTCTAGTTTTAATTTTTTGGAGAACTGCTATCTTGCTTTCCATAGTGGTTCTGAGTTGTTCTTAATCTTTGCTCTCTGAGATCTCACTCATAAATATTAGTTCTTTAATTGAAGGAGAGGAGGAAAATAGGAAAAAAGGCGAAACAAAAACGCAGAGACAGTAGGATCACTTCTCTGGCTAGGGCCTTATTCTCCATGTGAGGGTCTGCCCTCCAGGCTTAGGTCAGCCTTCTCTTTCTGGTCCTTCCCCGCCTCTCTTTCCTGCCATCTGATGCCAAATGCTATCATCCCTGATGGAACCATACTCCTAGCCCCTCTGGTAGGCAGAACAACAGCCTTCTAAAACGTCTACACTACAATCCTTGGAAATTGTCAACATATTGTGATAAATGATGAAAAGGACTTTGCAAACATAATTAAGTCTTCAGACCTTAAAATACAGGGATTAGCCCATGTTATCCAGGTGGTCCCAATTTAATCACATGCGCCCTTAAAAGCAGAGAAATGTCTTCAGCTGGAGGAAGAAGAGAAAGGCAGAATAGAGATACTCCAGGAAGAAAAGCCAAAGCAATTCCATGCATAAGAAAGATTTGATGGACCATTGCTGGTTCTGAGATGTGAAGGCCACATACAAGGACAGGCAGAGGCCTCCAGGAGTCGAAGACGGCCTCTGCCGGCAGCCAGCAAGGACTAAGAACCCAATTCTACAACTACAAGGAACTAAATTCTGCCGACAACCTAAATGGGCTTGAAAGAGGCTTCTTCCCAAAGTCTACAGAAAGGCATGCAGTCCAAACAATGCCTTTGTTTTAGTGCTGTGAGACTCCACTTTAGGCTTCTAACATAGGGAACTGTAAGAGAACAAATGGGTGTTGTTTTAAATTGCTAAATTTGTGGTCATTTGTTACAGCTGCAATAGGAAAAGAATACACCCTTGATTACACTCACATGGGTCTCTCCTAGCCCTTCAGAAATGTGCCATGACTTTGAAGGTGTCAGCGGGAGAGCCTGCCCAACTAATTCCTTGTCAATTTACTCATGGGCAAGGGCCAGAGGGAGGTTTTTTTGTTTGTTTGTTTTGTTTTTTAACACCAGCATTTTGGAGAGATGCTTTTTTCATCTGACTCTGAGATGTCCATAAAAGCAGCAGGGATTTCAGATGAAAGATGAGAGATTAGCCTCCTAGCCAGTGGGACGGGAGTAATCTGAGCCAAATAAAGCCTTCCAACAGCACACCTTCCATCCATACTGCCCAAGCCAAGGGATGGTCACATCCCTGCACAGGCTTTTCTTTAAATTTGCCCTGTCCCTTACTTATAAAATATAATGTATGCTCATGATTAAAAAAAAAAAATTCAAACAGTACAAAAGGTGATACCTTGAAGAGTGCCCTTTTACATAATTCCACCTTTCCATAAAGTTTTCATGTAATGGTCTTTCTGTATATTTTTTTCTTTTCTTTGTTCTTTCTTTTAAACAGAATCCCTTGGTACATATTATTCTGTAAGTTGATTTTTTTAATTGATTAATATATCTCGGGACTTTTTTTTAATGTCAGTTCACATACAGCTGATCCATTGTTTTCCTTTTTTTTTTTTTTTTTTTTTGAGATGGAGTTTCGTGCTTGTCGCCCAGGCCGGCGGAGTGCAGTGGCATGATCTCAGCTCACTGCAATGTTTGCCTTCCATGTTCAAGTGATTTTCCTGCCTCAGCCTCCTGAGTAGCTGAGATTACAGGCACCTACCACCATGTCCAGCTAATTTTCTGTATGTTTAGTAAAGACGGGGTTTTGTCATATTGAGCAAACTGGTCTCCAACTCCTAACCTCAGGTGATCCACCTGCCTCAGCCTCCCATAGTGCTGGGATTACAGGTGTGAGCCACTGAGCCCAGCCTCATTCTTTTTAACCATCACATAAAAATGCCTGTAAGTTGTAAATGAGTAATTTACTTATTCCTACCCTATGGATGGACATTTATGCTGTCTGCATGTTTTTATTAACATAAACAAATATCCCTGGGCCCCTGTTTTTTCAATTTTATGCAAGTTTTTATAAGATACATATCCACAAGTGGAATTATTGGGTTTAAAGGACATGTGCATTTAAGCACTGAGGGTATTGCCAAAATACCATGCAGAAGTGTACCAAATTTACTCTCCTGTAAACAGACAATGAAACTATCATCTTGCCCACATCTTCTGCAACATTTCTTTTTTTTTAACCTTCACCAATTTCTTAGGTAGAAAATAGTTTCTCATCATATTTGTGTTTCTTCAATTCTGAGTGAGGTGCAGGATTTTTTTTCAATAAATAGGGTCTCATTCTGTCACCCAAACTGCAGTACAGTGGCATGAACAAGGCTCACTGCAGCCTCCACTTCTTGGGCTTAAGCGATCCTCCCACCTGAACCTCCCAAGCAGCTAGGACCGCCCCACCATGTTCAACTAATTTTTGAAGGTTTTGTTTTGTTTTAGAGAATGGGTGTTGCCATGTTACCCATGCTGGTCTCGAACTTCCAGGCTCAAGTATGATCCTCCTGCCTTGGCCTCCCAAAATGCTGAGATTACAGTGTCAGCCACTGTGTCCGACCTTGTAGTACCTTCTGATGTTTATTGGACATTTAGAATTCTTTTTATGTTCTATTTATGTCCCTTGCAACTTTTTCCATCAAGCTGATTTCTTAAATTGATTTATTCAATTTTTTTTTATGGTAAGGAAGTAAGCCTTTTGTCTAATGTGCTGCAAATATTTTCCCCCTGTGAGCTGTCTTCTGCCTCTACTAATGACATTGTTGGCTGTCATAATTAATTTGTATGTAGTTAAAATAGATCAATATTTTTCTTTTAGGCCTTTGCTTTTATGTTATAGCTTTAAGTGCCTTCCCCACTCCAAGATAATTTTTCAATCCATTCACATTTCTTTTTCTTTTTTTTTTTGAGATGGAGTTTCACTCTGTTGCCCAGGCTGAAGTGCAGTGGCGCAATCTCAATCTCACTGCAACCTCCACCTCCCAGGTTCAAAGTGATTCTCCTGCCTCAGCCTCCTGAATAGCTGGGATTACAGGCGTGTGCCACCACACCTGACTATTTTTGTTTGTTTGTTTTGTTTTGTTTTTGAGATGGAGTCTCTCCCTGTTGCCCAGGCTGCAATGCAATGGCACAATCTTGGCTCATTGCAACCTCCACCTTTTGGATTCAAGGGATTCTTAAGAAGGTGGGGGGACGGAAGGCAGCAAACCACACTGCCAAGTGTGTACCTATGCAACCATCTTGCATGTTCATCACATGTACCCCAAAACCTAAAATGCAATAAAAAAAAAAGAAAAAAATCAAGTAACAACCTATTAAAAAAAAAAAAAAAAAAAAAAAAAAAAAAAAAAAAAAGAAGGTGGGATTACAGGCGTACGCCACCATGCCCAGAAAATTTTTTGTATCTTTAGTAGAGATGGGGTTTCACCATGTTGGCCAGGCTGGTTTTGAGCTCCTGACATCATGATCCACCTGCCTTGGTCTCCCAAAGAGCTCAGATTACAAGCGTGAGCCACCACGCCTGGCCCTATTTTTGTATTTTTGATAGAGAAGGGTTTTCACCATGTTGGCCAGGCTGGTCTCCAACTCCTGACCTCAGGTTATCCACCCGCCTTGGCCTCTCAAAGTGCTAGGATTACAGGCATGAGCCACTGCACCCAGCCCATTCATATTTCATCTTCTTCATTTCTGTGTTTTATACACGTAGAATTTATTTTATTGTAAGGCAGAGAAAGGAATACAGATTTACTTTTTCCCCAAACATCTATATGTTTTCCTAACATGTACTGAATAATTCATCTCTTCTCCAATATGTCATCTTTATCATACAATAAATTCCCAAATTATATACTACATTTATTATCTGTTTTGGTGTCATCATATATTATTTTAACTATGTAACTTTATAATGCACTTAAAAATATTTTATTATTTTTAACATCCTCTGGCTTTTCTGGCATGTTAATTTTGTCAGATAAACTTATCAACTTTCACAAAATTTTTCTTGCTATCTTGACTTTCTGTGTTTTGGTTTGACTTATATATGTTACTATGATGTGAAGGCTTAATTTTTACTTACCCACATAGATGCCATGATGTCCCACTTTTGCCGTGAGCTGAGATCCCACTAATCTATTAAAAGAAAAAAAAAAAATAGTAAATGCTATCAATATGTGATTCAGAGCACAATAATCTCAGTCGAACTCTTAATCTTGAATCCAGAAAACAGAAGTCAACCTTCACAGAAAAACTTTCTCTTTTCAGGAAGAGGATGTATCTGACATTGGGTATCCCATTTGCTAAACAAACATTTACTGAGTATCTACCATGTACAAGGGACCGTGCTAGACCTGTGAGGATTTCAAGATAAGAGAGAGAAAAAAATCTTTGTACTTAAATGATGCTAACAAATATGCTTCCGAAAAGCCAATTTTTGACTTATTTAAAGTCTAGCAGAACCATGCTGATTACTGTCAGGCTACCACGACAAGGATCAATAACAACATAAACATAGAACTTTGCTCCTTCTCACCAAATCAGTACAAATTTTTGCTGCCTTCAACTGGATTCCTTGTGCCTGATTGTGAAACCTCCATGTACATTTTACAAGGTTCCAAGCCTATAGTCTGTTATAAAGACATGTCTGCTCTTTGAGGAGGTGGTCCAGTCCTTGGTAGGGTGTAGAGGTGAGAGGGGCAGTTCTTTGATTGGGAAGCCAGACACACTTTTCTTACATAGATAGTATTCAAACATGTTGGCATATCTCCAGTGTTGATTTAGAAATGCAAGTTGTTCCCACCCTTCCTGGGAACAAAATATTCTAAAAATTCCCTGATACCCCCAGAGCAAAGTTCAATGGGAAATAACACTATCAGCCTCTGGAAATATTTAGCCCTGGTTTTTTTCAGGCTCTCTGTGGCCTAGGGCAGTCAGCTCTCTAGTTAGAGTCTAACACTGCATCTCTATAAATAGATGCTCTTTGACTTAAGAGGGGTTACAGCCAGATAAACTATTAGGAAGTCTAAAAATCAGAAGTCAAACCACCCTATACAGTGGAAACAAATTATTATTAGTTCTAGTTTTGCCTCTTAAACACAATTTCTTTGTGGCTCAATTTCCTCACCTGTAAAAAGTGAAGAAGGGGGTGTTGCTAGCATTGAATGAGTTCAATTTTACAAGGCTGGGGATTCTTCTTATCTGTGTTCACTGGGGCACAGTAGATATTTAAAACAAAAACTTATTGAATGAATGAATGATTTAAGACAAGCCTCAAAATCATCCAGTGAGTTAGATAGTACAGCTCCATTTTGCATATGAAGAAGCTGGGGCCCAGAGAGGGATGGCAATGTCCCATAGTCACACAGCTAGTGAGTGGTCCCCTACGGCATTGAGGCAGCTAGACTCTAAAGGTATGAAACTAACCCCCATCCTTCTGCCTTACCCCACTGTCTGGCCCACCCCTGACTAAAGCTGACACTAGATACGCGTTGATCCAGTAGAATTTGAAAATTATTTAGAATTATTACTAATCTGTCATTTAACTTTTAAGAAGTACAGAATTACTCCACAGCGAAGGCCAAATGACTTACACAGAACTTCAATCCCTTTCCTGAAAGGGATTGCATCATTTCCTTTTACTTCCTCCACTATAGTTATTTCTAAACAGGTCTCTGTACACAACCACAGTTCGGAGAACAAGATTTTGGTCTTCTTTACATTTAAAAATTCCCTTTCTGGTCAGTCTGAAGTTTTCTGACATCGTGAAAAACAAAAGTGATATCTTCATGGAATAATGTATTAATTGGTTACATTTTAAAATATGATGTTGATGAACGTAGTATGTAAATGTATCTCTCCTGGAGGGGAGAGTCTTGCTGTCAGTGCCGAACACAAATCCTTGGAAAGAATTCAGCCCTGGCTGTGCAATTTCTTACCAGCAGCCAGAGGGGCCTCCAGAGACCCAGAACCTCCCAGCACCTGCATAATTTCCTATATATGGTCATTTGCAATCAAGTATCTAAATCTTCCACCTGGAGACTTAAATGCCGAGGGAATGATTCATATCTAGTGAATAGGATTCTGTTGCAAAGAAAACGGTGAGTCTTTTCAGGAAAGAGCAAACTTCTGAACTTCCAACCCTCAATATGCAAATCCACTTTTTTCTACCTTCTAAAAAAATAAGTAAAAAAGAGAATATATTGGCTACGTGAAGAGGAGAACGTGCTCACGGGATGGGATTCCAAGTCCACAGAGCAGACCTCTGAGCCAGCCCCGTCTGCGATGCCGGGGACCCGAGGAACCTTCCGACTCCCAGCTTTTTTCTCTCTCCTAGTCCTTTAGTACTGGGGAGGCCAAGATGGCTAAGTGGATCCCCTAAGCTGCTAGCTGTGATCAGCGAAGTTTTCAGGGAGCGAGGACAGCTGAGTATCAGCTTGGGCCCCACCAAGATCTGGGTGACCCCCCCCCCACCCCACCCAAGGGCACGGCCCTTTTCCTCTCCTGGGTTCCAGCCTCCTCGACTCTGAAATGCGGGACTGAGCTGCGTCCAGCTCCGCACCCACGCGGCTGGGTTTGGACCCGGCGAGGTCGCCAGCCGCCCGCCCTGCCCCGGACGGAGCTGCGCTCGCGGGGGAACTGGGAGAGGCGCCGCGATCTCCCCAAGACACCAGACAGCTGCCGGCGGTGAGCGAGGCTCCGGGGACGCGCCTGGAAGCTGAACTTACCCTGAAGCGCGGTGGCGGGAAACTAGCTTGCCTGCGAACTGCGAGCGAAGGTGTGCGCCCCGGGCGCTGGTACTCCGCGCTGGCTCCGGGCCTGGATCGCGGCCGCACCCTTTCCTCCTGCCCCTCCTCCGGCCTCTCGGCTCCACCTGCCTGCGGCCCCAGGCCCGGGGAGAGGGAAGCCGCGCCCTGCGCCTGCGGAGCTCCAGCTCTGCTCCCTCACCGGTCTCTAAGCTTCCCCACCCTTTCTCCCTACGCCCTCGTTTCGCCCTCGGTTTCCACTCACCTTCTCTTTCTCAAATGTACTGCGATGCTTATTTTGTTCTAGGCAGTGTGGACTCGGAGATTAGACTGTCCCCACACCCAAGGAACTCACCGCGTGGTGTAGGTGGCGGACACCTAACATTAATAACAGTCAGTAACGTGTATCTGGCATGTACTTTGTGGCAGGTATTGTTCCAACTTATTTACGAATATACACTGGTTTATTAGGCTGGTACACAAGTAATTATGGTTTTTGCCATTAAAATGGCTCCGACGACAACTCTATGAGGTAGATATATTATCCCCATTTTATACATGAGGAAATTGAGATACAGAGACGTTAGATAACTTCAGCAAATTTACACGGAAAGTAAATGCTACAGCCAGTGTTTGGAACCCAACTATTTCGGTAGTTCCTCTGTTAAACGTACTGATCCTCTAGTATGAGGATTCCAACCAAAGGCTCAGCGAGATGGTAACATGAAAGGGCATTCTGGACATCTGGAAGAGCAAAACAAATTATCGAAGCTAAAAATCAAAGCCCAACCTGTATGAGGGAATTTTGAGCAGTTGCGCGTTGAAGGATGTAGAAGATAATCATGTATTAGTTATCAGGCATTGAAGTGCTTGAATACGTTACCTCTTTTATCTTCAAGGGAACTCTCGGAGGTGCTATTTTTATTAGAATTTGCAGAAGAAGAAACTGAAGCTCAGTAAAGTGAAGTGATTTATTGAAGACCGCTTAAGTAAAAAACATTGGTTGCGCTCAGTCGTCACTGCTGTGTATTTACCCAAAGAAGCTGAAGACTTATTTGCCACAAACACCTGCACATACATGGATGTTTGTAGTAGCTTTTTTTTTTTTTTTTTTTTTTTTGAGACGGAGTCTCTCTCTGTCGCCCAGGCTGGAGTGCAGTGGCACGATCTCGGCTCACTGCAACTTCCGCTTCCTGGGTTCAAGCGATTCTCCTGTCTCAGCCTCCCAAGTAGCTGGGATTACAGGCGCGCGCCACCACGCCCGGCTAGTTTTTGGGGGGGGTATTTTTTGTATTTCTTTTAGTAGAAACAGGGTTTCCTCATGTTGGCCAGGCTGGTCTCTAACTCTTGACCTTGTGATCCGCCCTCCCTCGCCCTCCCAAAGTGCTGGGATTACAGGCGTGAGCCACCATGCCAGGCCGTTTATAGTAGCTTTACTCATAAGTATCAAAACTTGGAAGCAACCAAGAGGCAATTTGTAGGTGAATGGATAAACTGTGATACATCTATACAGTATAATTTTATTCAGCACTGAAAAGAAATTAGCTATCAAGCTATAAAAACACGTCGAAGAAATGCATATGACTAAGAGGAAGAAGGTAATTTGAAATGATTCCAAATATATGACACTCCAGAAAAGACAACACTATGGAGACAGTAAAAAAAAAAATCACTGGTTCCTAAAAGAAGGTAGGGTGAATAGGTGGAGCACCAGAGGATTTTTAGAGTGAAAACACTGTATGATATGATCATGGTGGATATATGTCATTATACATTTGTCAAAATCCATAGAATGTACACCAAGAGTGAACCATAATGTAAGCTATGAACTTCACTGATAATGATATGTCAGTGTAGGTTCATCGACTGTAAATACACTACTCTGGTGGAAGGTGTTGGTAACAGAGGAGGCTATGCATGCATGTGGCCAGAGGAGATTTATGAAATCTCTGTACTTTCTACTCAATTTTGCTTGGAACCTAAAGGACACAAAATGCTAATATCAGATCAAAAGAAGTAACCTAAAAACTGTTCTAAAAAGGAAAGCCATTTAAAATGCATATCTTATTATTTTATATATTGCGTTAAACTATGAGGAAAGAAAAAACATAGTAGGCTTTAGCAGGAAAAGAACATTAAGAAGACCAAGACAGTCAGGGAAGGAGGCAACACAATTTGACTTGATGGCACACATTGTCATTTGAAAGAATTCTTACTTTCCACTACCTCTTTATCTTGCAGGGTAGAAAAATTGAAGTGCTCCAAATTTAAATTGGTGTGCTCTATATTTCCCAGTCAATGTATAAATTGCCCTATTTCTTTTCCCCTTCCTTCCCTCCTTTCCTCCTTCCTTCCTTCTTCCTTCCTTCCTCTTCCTTCTTTCTCTCTTTCTTTCTTTCTTCCTTTCTTTCCTTCTTTCTTTCTTGACAGTGTCTCACTCTGTCGCCCAGGCTGGAGTGCAGTGGCACGATCTCACTGCAACCTCTGCTGCCTGGGTTCAAGTGATTCTCCCACCTCAACCTCCCAAGCAGCTGGGACTATAGGCACTTGCCACCATGTCCAGTTATTATTATTTTTTATTTTTAGTAGACAGGGTTTCACCTTGTTGCCCAGGTTGGTCTCAAACTCCTAACCTCAAGTGATCTGCCTGCCTCAGCCTTCCAAAGTGATGGGATAACAGGCATAAGCCACTACACCCAGCCCCTATTTTTTTATTCACTCTGGAAAAATTTTTTAGTGAAAGTATTAATTTGGAGACATAATTAGGACTAACAAATTGCCATTTAGGTGTTTGTATATTAACAGAAAGTTAAACTCTGTGAATACTTTATTTATTTTTTTCCTGAGATGGAGTCTTGCTCTGTTGCCCAGGCTGCTGGAGTACGGTGGTGCAATCTCAGCTCTCTGCAACCTTTGCCTCCCGGGTTCAAGCAATTCTCCCGCCTCAGCTTCCAAAGTAGCTGGGCTTACAGGGGCTCACCACCAAACCTGGCTAATTTTTTTTTTTTTTTTTTTTTTTTTGTATTTTTAGTAGAGATGGGTTTTTATTATGTTGGCCAGCCTGGTCTTGAACTCCTGACCTCAGGTGATCCACCCACTTCGGCCTCCCAAAGTGTTGAGATTACAGGCATGAGCCACCGCGCCTGGCTGAATACTTTTTTCTCTCTCTCTATCTAGACTTCCAGCAGTGTTATGCATGCTGGCCCTTTAACCCATGCAGGAGCTGCTTGACTCAGAGGATAAGCATGACTGGAGCTGTTGAGTGTGAGTTGAAGAGATTACGGTTTTGGTCCTTAAAGCTGAGTCCTGGGACCTAAAAACTAATTAGAAATGCAAATTCCCTGAAACCCTACTCCATCAAGTGATTCTGATGCACCCTAAAGTTTAAGAACCACTGGTTTAAGAGGAGCAACAATGGAGAAGGCAGAGATGTTCAAGATTAAAAAGGCCAGTGACCTGGGAGCCCTCTCAGATTTACAAATCCAAACTGATCTTTCTGCAGCAGAGAAGGTAGAATGGTGTTCTGCATTCTGTTCTGCATAGTAATTCCTGACTCCCATTCAGACTTTGCCACAATAAACTAAATCCCATGTTATCTCAAAAAATTTTGAGATTAGTATGAAATGGGTGGAAAATATTTATTATTATTCATGCCAGACATTGGGTAATGCACTTGACATAAATGATCTATGTTATGCTTACCAACTTGTGAATTAGGTATGTTGGCCTCTATTTTGCAGATACAGACACAGGCTCAGTAAGTTCTACTAGTTGCATTCCAGACAACCAGGAAGTAATAGGGCTAGATTTGTAGCCAGAAGAATATGAGTAACAGGTGATGTTTTACTTCTTTGATTTCAGGATGGTAACTTTAACATTCACTTTTATCGTTTTCTGAGTTTTTCTAGTTGTATCAACAGCTCAGTTACTACCATTTAGACTAGAAACATGCTATGGAATACTATAAAACTATTTTTCCCCCAAACGATGAGTTTTGTTAGAAGGAAATATTAGATGATTCTGTTAGGATCCAGGTTTATACTTATCCAGAAAAAGAATTCAGAAAAGATTATTTAATAAAATTTTCATTATTCTGAATACATAGAACTTTACAGGTTTGTAAAAGGCTAATTTTCCTATAGCACCCTGCTCAAAAGAATGATTTAACAGCCAAATACAAAATTTTAAAGAAAAGTTATTGAGATATGTTTAGCACATATGGTAAAATGTGAGGGAAAAATGAATTGACTAAGTGATTGTGGCTGTTAAATACATATTTGCTGTTACAGTGATGTGTTGGAGCTGGGTTACACTAGCGTGTGAAAGTCCATTCCTAAATTTTCAGGCATTTCACAGCCAGTGTTAAATGTAGACATTATTACAAGTTAAATAAATACAATGAAATAAATTATGTTAAAAACAATGGTAATAGCTACTCAGAATTAACCACTCCCAAATTATTTTACTGCATTTTATTATTATTGATGCTTTCCAGGTTGTGTTTATTGTATACTTGTGGTGAAAATAGTGCATAAAGTTGTACTACCGTGTGTCTCTTCCCTATTCCACATTCAGTGAAATTATGCTAGTGGGCTGAATTCAGCCATGGTGGGAGTATTTACAACACAAACACTAGCAAATACTATAAATTGATCTTCCCTTTATCCCAAAATCTAGTTGTAAAGCATTTATCAGCACATCATTCTTTATAATAACAAGCAAATTTAAAATTGAGACAAGATTTGAGTTCAAGTAGTTAATTGTGATTTACATTAGAGAAGAAATTGGCATTGAATTTAAGGACTGTATAAGAGTTTGGACAGAAAGAGATAGCATACTCAAAGGTTCTGAATAAAGAGTCAAATAAAGGGGCTATTTACAAATGCGTGGGCAAAGTTCAGTCAGGTATCCACAGGGATGATGTAGTACCCAAGGACTAGGGACGGCATGAAATCATTGTCTCTAGCCTTTCATGGGCAAGGGAGGGAAGGGGTTTCATCAGAACCGGTGAACACTGGAACTGTGGAAGGGAGGCTATGAATCAGGACCTGTGGCCAGGGAGAGTGATGGCCATCTACCCCAGAATCACAAGGCAGGAGGAAGCAGGGAGGAGGCTAAACACGCACCAGCCTCTCATCAGTGGTTGCACGTGGCCAACCTCAACCAGAAGCCAAGAGGCAAGGGAGCCTTGTAGAAGCAGTTGATGAAAAGTAG